ATATTATATATATATTATAGGTGATCTGGTATACAGGCTGCTTCTAATCACCTGTACACTGACATATGTATGTTATAGGTCATATGGTATACAGGCTGCTTCTAATCACCTGTACACTGACATATGTATGTTATAGGTCATATGGTATACAGGCTGCTTCTAATCACCTGTACACTGACATATGCTCCGTAAGACAGTCACAAAGCAGGCATTTCCACGAAAGATAAAGCCATAGTAACCAGAAGTATCTCTGCTCCGTAAGACAGTCACAAATCAAGCCTTTCCACGAAAGATATAGCTATACCATGAAACAAAGTTTCTAAAATCAGATTATCATGACCTCCACTTGTTTTAGAATATTTTCAATTAGAACTAACGATAAGTTTTAAGTTTTGTAGGTATGAAATACTTACTATGGGAGAATGAGATATGTAGTACTTGCATATTATACAACTACCAATTTTAAAGAGAAAATTAACCTGAAGATAAGACTGATTTTTGTCCTACATCAAATGAACACGATAATAAATTAACATTTAAAGCTGACTTGCTTTAGGACGAAGAAACGGTCATGTCCATCTGTAGGCTAAATCTGACTGTTTTTAGATTAAATTTGTAGAACACTTTGTTCCAGCTCAAATTTGTATTCGAACTGCAAGATAGATCTTAATATTAACCAATGCCGTTTGATTATAATTGAAGTTGGAAATATAATAAATGGGTATTAGCAAATTGGTTTCGACTTTTGTTAAAGAAAGGTGTATTAAGAATAAAAAAAATACAGAATTTGTATTTTTCGCCAATGACGATAAATGTATCAAAAATAAATTACAAAATGAATAATTCAAAGTTCCCTTTCGCATATCTCTTGAAGTGTTATTGAAGAATATATCTCAAAACCTTTGGATCGACTTGAAATTCGCGGTTATTAATAATATTATTCCAAATAAGTTATTGAAAAACTTGACTGCATAAATAATTTCATTTTATATTTTGCTCGCATTAAATGCAGTATCGACGCTTGTCCAGCAAATTAATTCCATCTGAATAAGAGAAATATTATGGTTGATAAAAGTTTCATCAATATTTCGCTGTATGAGTTTGGAAAAGAAAGGAAGTCGTAGTCTGACGTTGAATTTTCTTATCGTTCTAGTTGGTTAAACTAAGCTACGATTTGTTTGTTTGTTGAATTTCGCACAAAGCTACTCGAGCGCTAACCGTCCCTAATTTAGAAATGTTAGGCTAGAGGGAAGGCAGTTAGTCAACACCACCCACCGCTAAAGTTTGGACTACTCTAATCGTCAAACATATCATTCAGATCTGAGAGGTACTAAAGTCAATGTTCGCGCGTTTGTTTTGTCATTGAAATACTTTGAAATCTTCCATGTTCGCGACCAAGACCATCGTATCAAAATAATTTTAACTCAGTTTTCATATGCTTCTTTCTTCCCACAATTCTAATATCCAATAGAACAAAGCGTTATTAGTATATCTAAGTAATTAGGAGGCTTGCAACACTTAAAAACTGTATGAGACACTGCGCAAAACAATTAAAGGAGAATCAGAAAATGTGTTATCATAGTTACGACAGAGCTAAACCACTATCAAAAATAATATCAACCGTCCGTTTGGTTAACGTTTATGCCAATTACGCATCTAATGATCGTTCATATAATCTGAAGTGCAAAAGACTTGTCAGTTAGCTTTTTCTATTAGATGAACATTTGGTAGTTTGACATTTTGGCAGTTCGTGCCATTTCAATTCAGTATGTATGGTTGCCTATAAACAATAAGGACGGCTTGGCACAGGTGTTACATGTTCGACAGAATGAGAAACGTCTCCAAAGAACGTTCTATACATACTTGACGAGACTGGAGTATGGAGAGTGTGAAGGCCACTATACTCGGCCAATTTCTTTTGATCTTCGAGGAATGTGTCGGCCAGTTTAGCATTGGAGGAGTATCACCCATTAGGCTTAGGTAAGAGCCAATTGCACTAGCAGATGGTAGAGCATGCGGTCTTGGGATGTTGCTCTTATAATTTGTGTCATTAATGATACCATTCCGCAGGTTTGAAAGCCTGTACATCCAATAGTGTTAATACTATGCTTCCACCTTCTGTTTCACGTTCCTACAGGAAAATGGAATTGAATCTGGTTCGAGAGTTTTCCAAATACGTTTAAGCATGTTATCTGCTGTAGGGTATACGAAATTCATCGAAGAAATAATAATAAGATATATACACAAATATACATTCCTCTACGTGTTGTTGGTCCATTGGAAATACTGTTGCCACTTGGCACCATTGCACACGAGCTGTTTTGTGTCTTGCTATGAATGAAATGTATATTATACGTTATCTGATATAAAGGCTGCTTCTAGTCACCTGTACACTGACATATGTATGTTATAGGTCATATGGTATACAGGCTGCTTCTAATCACCTGTACACTAACACATATAGTAACCAGAAGTATCTCTGGCTTTATCTTTCGTGGAAAGGCCTGCTTTGTGACTGTCTTACGGAGCAGAGATACTTCTGGTTACTATGGATTTATCTTTCGTGGAAAGGCCTGCTTTGTGACTGTCTTACGGAGCAGAGATACTTCTGGTTACTATGGATTTATCTTTCGTGGAAAGGCCTGCTTTGTGACTGTCTTACGGAGCAGAGAT